GTCTTCTCTTCTGCAGACTAAATAAATCCAGTTCCCTCAGCTGGTCCTCATAAGTATGTGCCCCAGCCTCTAACCATTTTCATTGCCCTCTGCTGGACTCCCTCCAACTTGTCCACATCCTTGCTATAGTGGGGGCCTCAAAACTGGATACAGTACTCCAGATGTGGCCTCACCAGTGCAGAAAAGGAGAATAATTGCTTCCCTCAATTTGCTGGCAATGCTTCTACTAATGCAGCCCAGTATGTTGCTAGCCTTCTTGGCAACCGGGGCACACTCTTGTATCCAGCTTATTGTCCACTGTAACCCCCAGGTCCTTTTCCGCAGAGCTGCTGCTTAGCCAGTTGGTCCCAAGCCTGTAGCAGTGCATGAGGTTCTTCTGTCCTAAGTGCAGGACTTTGTACTTGTCCTTGTTGAACTTCATGAGATTTCTTTTGGCCCAATCCTCTAATTTGTCTAAGTTACTCTGAATCCTAGCTCTAACCAGTGCATCTACTCTATGCCCTGTGTAACCAATCTTAACCCATTCAGGTTCTTCCATGCCTCCCCACTTTGGGATTGACTTCCTCACTCCTACAAGAGCTAGACTACAAGTGGAGCTTAGAAATAATTCAAATGTTTTATTCTATACATTTCAATATCAGCCTTCCTCTTCTGATGTTTAGGGACCTACTAAGTACAAACAATCCTGCTCTTGGGGAAAGGGCCATAGAGGAAGTTTTAAAGGTATTTAGGACCTTTGGGGCATTTACACACATGCTTTTCTGTCTCATGATGCACCGGAGATCCGCCGATTAACCAAGTCTGCTCCACACATGAGCTGAGGTGAACTACATTGTGCCATGTGCAGTTGTATCAGTGGCAAAATGAGCAGCATCGTGCAGAAAATGAAAGTGGTGCGCTTTTGAATTAAAGCACCTCCAATGTGTTTTAGATAAAAAGTGAGCTGCTGCCATTTTCTCAGTGCTAAGGCACATTTTGCCGCTTATACAACTGCAAGCATTGCAGTGCTGGCGCTGTGGCACTTGCATGTGTAAAAATGCCCTTGGATTCTAAACATGTGCAGGTTCTTATTTTTTAAAGGGTTATAATTTAGACTATCCTGACAGTGGTTTCAAGAGGTCATTTTGGCAATCAAGGATCATTGTAGTTTAGAGACCACCCCAACCACAACCTTTTCAAATGGACACACAGGGGATCAGGAAGAAAGCATGGCAACCTCTATTGCATCTTGATGTCATCTTAGTAGTCTCCTAGACCAGTGGTCTCCAAACTTTTTTGATTGTTCACCCCTATCAGTAAAAAATTTTTGAGCATGCACCACCAATATATGTATATTTATTGGGGGTGCCACTGTCAACCCCTCCGCATTGTGGAACTCCCACTCTTCTCTCAGGGTACCTTGCGTACCATACGTGACGTGACCATCTGACATACGGACCAAGTGAGGGTGCCAGTGTCAACCTGTATATTAAATATTAGTACAGCTTAATTTCTTTCTTATTTTTTTAGATAAAAAGTAAATATAAATAGAAGTTCTAATATTTTCTTCCCGCACCCCAATGGATCATCTTGCGCACCCCACTTTGGAGACCACTGTCCTAGGCAGACAGAATTATCCATTAGCTAGCTAAGTCACTTGTACAGCAGCTTATATAGTTATTTATACCCTCTAAAGCAGTGATTCTCAACCACAGTGCGGTGGCCCGTTGTTCTGACCTGTTATGGTCTTTCTGAGTTCTTTCCAACAGAAAAATTACTCTGTTATTTTCCACAGGCATAAAAAAGAGTGAAAACTAAGAGCTGGCATTTCCAACAAATGCCTTGAGTCTAACAAGGGGTGCCTTGAGTCTAAAAAGATTGAGAACCACTGCTCTAGAGTGTCTTAAAGTTGTGTATTCCAGAGGCATAAGTATCAAAATGTCCTAACATAATCAACTTTTCACCAGAATTGTGATTGTAGAATGTTTCTAATAGAAATTTCGATATAAAATGCAAACCCCCCTCCCCCAAAACCCCCAACAACTTATGGTAATGTGACATTAAGTTTGTAAGACTGACTGCCCAAAATTCCCAAGAAAGAGTAGGCTGTGTTTTGAATCAAAGTCAACTTAAGTCTAATACCGCACAGTTATTATCTTCTATGGAAAATTGATTCTGATTCTATGTTTTTTTCATTTTAGTTTTGGCTAACTTTCAGCTATCACCAGCCTGCATTGGAAGATTCCAGCATTGGCTCTTGTATTCTTCATTACACATTCTGTACACGTGAGGGTTAATAATGAGCAATATACAGAGGGTTATATTTAACAAAGAAAAGAGGAACAGAAAAATGGTACACCTGTAAAATGCAGATAAAATAGCATTGCCATAGAAGATTTACCTCTGCATTTCCTGCCTTGAATACAAGATGCCTTCAATTTAATGTTGCATTAATACTTTTTTTTTTTTTACATTTAATTTTCTAAAAAGCTGGATGTTTAACACACACTTTACAAGTGACTTTCTGTGTGCAAGGGAAAGTGTCTTAGGACTTGTATAACCACAATACCACACCTGGCATGGCTTGGTATAACACACACGTGGTATGGCATAGCAATTATCCTTGGTTGCCAAAGTGACTTTTTGAAGCCATGTACTAGCAGTGTTGCCCAGCTGCCAGCTGCAGCAGTGGGTATTTTTGTATCCCCTCCACAGGTACCCAGGGCTGCTACTTTAGTTGCTTCCACTCTACCTCAGTAATGCTACTGAAGCATGGAAATGCTGTAGCTCCTATTCCAGACCAAATGTAAAGTGAAGGCTTTGGGAGGGTTTGGAGCAGC